ACTCTACAAACTCAGATACCTTAGATTTCCTCCAATCAACCAAATATTAAATCACATGAAATTTAGATCATACCACAATAGAAAAAGTTTTGGATTTCGTGTAATATTATTTTATTGAAAAATATGTGGTTGATAAGAATGTAAAGAAAAATGAATTATAATTTTTAATGTGGGCCAAACATGGACTAAGTATCTTAGTCACTTGTTTATTTTCACATTTGCCTTCACTATAAATGATATAAATTTTTGATAATTAATTGATAGTTTCTAATAAAACAAATCATATATTTTATAGTATGTTATATATTAATCCAATAATCAATTACAATAACTTTTAAGAGAATATATTACTTATAGTTTTTTGTTTTTGCAAGAAACTATCTGAGGATTGCAGATTTTAACAATTTGAATTAAAAAATTAATTGTACAACTATTATAACATAACATGTTGAAAATCAACTTACTTATTTAATTTAGATAAGGAGATTTTTATTTTTTTTAAAACTCGAAGGCTTTTTTTCTTCGCAAAAACGTTACAACTCAATTATATTTTTGAAATCAACTTTCCAATTTAATGGAAAATAAGGGTGCATTTGATTACCAATATTTTTCATGAAAAATGTGTTTTTTATATTCAAATTCATGCTTTTGTGTTGTTTGATTGACATTTTTTTATACGGAAAATATTTTCCCACTTTTGGTCATGTGACTGTATTTTTCTAAAAATTAAGAAAATATTTATTTAGGGAGAGTAATATTTTATTTTTCGGGGAATTCATTCTCTCTCTTATCTATCCACACTCTCTCATCTACCCACCAATAAAAAATAGGCAAGTATAATATTTTCTAAGTTGAAAAACTAAATCAGTCAACAAAGTTTACTTAATAATTTCTATAAACAAATTTCATACTCACAATGAAACGCACCCTAATAATTTAATAAAAAAATTGATTGGAAAATATAAAAGAAAAATAATTCAAAATTTTGAAAATTATTCAATATTATCCTTATTAAACAAAAGAACCAAAAGAATGAGGAACCGAAAAAAAATATTTTAGGTCTAAACTGCTAATGAACCAATTTGATCCATTTATAACAGTATTTCTTTTTTAAAAAAAAATTAAAAGAAACAAGTTCGTAGAATAGGAAATTAAAATTTGTTCATGTGTAACGAGAATTTATTGTCAAAAATAAATTNNNNGAGAATTTATTGTCAAAAATAAATTTGAAAGGAAGCTCTTGTATTTGAAAACATTGGGATTGCGTTATAGCATTTGTCTCGTCTCAATGATGTCTCCTATATATAATTTTGATAGGACAACAAAATTCCTCGCTCCCGATCCCACCTCACATAGCTTGTCCCAAATAACATTGAGTGAAGACAAGGAATGTGATTTCCACATTGAATCCTTTTATTTTATTTTTTTATTTTCAATATAAATTGTATTTATATAAATAAATAATATTTAATTCTTCCTCGCTCCCGACCCACCTCGCGTAGCGTGTCCCAAATAACATTGAGTGCAAACGAGGAATATGATAATCCTTTTATTTTATTTTTCAATTTAAATTGTATTTATAAAAATAAATAATAATATTTAATTCTTGCTACATCTCATTCCCATTCTCATTTTCATCTCCTTAAAAGTCCCCGATCGAATAAGAATGCTAATGATCATCTCGATTAAAGGATTTTACCATTGGTTTGAAGAAGACGCACCGTATCTGCAAATGGGGGCTGGACAAAGACAGAAGAAACCCTAGCTCCAAAGATAACTGCGTGCGTTTATGGAGAAGCCACACAAAACTCTCAAAATGGGTTAAACAAAAAACCAAAAAAGAAAAATAAAATAATAAAATAAAATAAAGAAATGAATGGATGGATGGATGGGGTGCACTTTACTACTTTTTTATGTTGCACGCATCCGTGGGAGAGAGCACAAGACAGAGAGACTAGTGGAATAGACAAGAAAAGAAGAAAAAAAATTCGTCCATTTCTCTACACAATATATATTTTTTCTTCAGATTAGCAAGAAAAATATAGGTAGTAAATCTTGAAATGTATACATACTTGCATGTGTGTATGTATACATATTCTTGAGTTTCTAGATCGAAGAAGTGTTCTTTTGTATTTTCATTTTGATTTCTTGTTTTTAAAGCTGGAGGGAGAAACTGATTTTGTGGGTTTGATTATTAGATGAAGGGGATGCCCTTGCCCTTTGAATTTGAGGGGAAGGAGTTGGATTTAGAGCTTGTTTTCAATAATAATAATAATAGGGCTAATTCATCTTGGTGGGGGAGCAATAATTTGAACGGTAATTGTGTTTTGAATAGCTGTGGTGAGCCTACATCTGTACTTGATATTGAAAGGAGTCCCAGAAGGGCTATATCTTCCTCAACCCTGTCTTCATCTTTAGGCGGCGGCGGCGGAGACATAGCTGGTGGTGGGGCTGCTTCCACTGACACGGCCGGGGTGGCGGCAGTTTCAGGTGACAATGAGAAAAACCCATCCTTGAAATGGCTGCAAGACTCCACTACTGCCACCAGCTCCAACACGGGAGTTGTTTCTCAGTTACTGCCTGCTCCTCCATCTCTCGAGATTGGGACTGCCGCCGCCGCCGCCGCCGCCGGCGGAAGCGCCGCCGGAAAATGTGCAATGGACGAGTGGGAAAGCGTGTTGTCGGAGTCTGCGGTTGCCTCGCCAAGCCATGAGCAGTCCATTCTGCCGTGGATCATGGGGGATGTGGATGACCCGGAAATGGGCAGCCTGAACAAGGTTTTTCAATTTGGGACTACCCCGCCGCCGCCCACGGTGGACTTTGAGTTCAACGGTGGTTTTGGGGTGGTGGATCAAGCCTTTGGCACGGACTCAGTTGGCCAGTTTGGTTCAAATTTTATGCACAGCTCTAGTTCCCCCAGCAACAGATCCAACGATGAAAAGATTGGTTTGTTTTCGAATTCACCTTCAAATCTTTCAAATAATTCTAAGTTCCCCAGCTCTCAGAATAACATGTTATCTTCAGTATCTAACAATCTTGGACCCATTACAACTACATTTGATTCTACAGAAATGAAGGCTCCCATTTTCAACCAACAGATGCTGATAAACCAGAACCAAACTCAACATCCACAAAACCAATCATTTTTCTTGCCACTGTCATATGCAAACCAGCATGAACAGAATCTTTTCATGCCACCCAAGGCAAAAAGACACAACCCGCGGGCTGCCAGAGAAGGCCTCGAGCCAGGTGGTCAAATACCGAAAGGGCCGTTTTCAGTTCCTGGGAAAGAGCTGTTGATGGGAAGACAAGTCCAGCATCAGCAGCCAATGTCTTATCAGCTTCAGTTACTTCTGCAGCAAAGGCCACCCGGAGCGTTGGGCCCAGGACCAAAGCCAAAGATGGGTGGGGGTGATTTAGCGTATTGCCATCAGCAACAGCAACAACGGGCTATAATTGATCAGCTTTACAAGGCCACAGAGCTGGTCCAGATGGGAATTCCAACACTTGCTCAAGAGATATTGGCGCGGCTCAATCACCAGCTCTCTCCCATTGGCAAGCCTTTCCATAGAGCTGCTTTCTACTGCAAGGAGGCGTTGCAATTGACTATTCATAAAAACAACAATATGATCCCTTCTACCGCGACTGCTTTGCCTTTTAGTCTCATTTTCAAAATTGGTGCCTACAAATCTTTCTCTGAGATCTCACCCCTTGAACAATTTGCCAATTTTACTTGCAACCAAGCCATCCTTGAAGTCGTGGAAGGATTTGATAGAATTCATGTTGTGGATTTTGATATTGGTTATGGTGGGCAATGGGCCTCGCTGATGCAGGAGCTTGCATTAAGGAGTGAGGGTGCACCATCACTTAAAATCACTGCATTTTCATCTCCCTCAACCCATGAACAGCTAGAGCTCAGCCTCACCCGGGAAAATCTAATTCATTTTGCTAACGAAATCAATATTGTGCTTGAGTTTGAGGTTATGAGTATTGATTCTTTGAATTCTGGTTCTTGGTCTCTGTCTTCTCAAGTATCAGAGAATGAGGCGATAGCAGTGAATCTCCCAGTTGGTTCTCTTGCTATTTATCAGTTGTCAGTACCATTGGTTCTTCGCTTTGTTAAGCACCTGTCCCCAAAAGTTGTGGTTTCTGTGGACAGAGGATGTGATAGGATTGACCTACCATTTCCCGACCATATAATTCATGCTCTTCAATCCTATTCGAACCTGCTTGAGTCTCTAGATGCTGTCAATCTGAATATGGATACTCTACAAAAGATTGAAAGGTTCTTGCTCCAACCAGGAATTGAGAAAATAGTGATGGGGCGTTTTCGTGCTCCTGAAAAGTCGCAGCATTGGAGGACTTTATTTTTGTCATCCGGATTCTCCCCCATAACATTTAGCAATTTCACAGAATCACAAGCTGAGTGTGTGGTGAAGAGGACTCCTGTTCAGGGATTCAATGTAGAGACAAGGCAGTCTTCACTTGTTCTTTGCTGGCAACGGAAGGAGTTGATCTCTGCATCGGCTTGGAGATGCTAAAACTATTAGTAGGTTTCTCAATTAAGACTTATTGCTAAGGCGCCTTAGAAATCACTGCTCACTGTTTTAATCCCTCGAACATGAGATTTATTGCCTGAAATTTCCCTTTCCTATTATGTGGCTTAGGCAGATTGCTTCCAACTTGAACCAGCATTAAAGTGCTGGATGTTCTAATATGGTTCAGTTATTTCAATTTCTTGCTTCGATCGGGGCGTTACTGTATGATGCTCTCGTGCTTTTAGGGTAATACAAATCAATTGATTCTAATTCATTAATTCTGTTTGTAACCATTACACTGGACACTGATCCAATCCAAGAACAGGAAAAACAGAAGAATCAACTCTTTAACTGAATCTTTATATCTTGCTGTAATTGGATCTGGTCTTTGTGATTTGATAGGGATAGATTATCTAGATTGCATGGAATTATGAACTGTGATATCTTAATTTGGGATCTTGATTATTGACAGCCTTGACTTTGTCAAAATTATAGATTTCCTTTGCATTTGATGGCTTATCTTTTGTTATCTTGTGTGTTTTTGAATAAATCTTCTTTCTCGGTTGTGTCTGGATGCTGTTTTGTAATCTTCATGTTCTTTGATATTCCTTGGAACCAAGACATTTCATGAATCCAGAATTTGTATATATCACATTCCAGTGTTTGTGTGTATAGATAAATATGTTATCCTTTTGTTCTAACTAAACATCCATCTATCATTGTTTTGCCTCTTGTTTTATATGATCTTTTCAACTCTGTCTTATGCAAACAGATTCCTTTTAAGTTTTATTTAAATAGAACAGTAAGTACTTATGTTCTTACTGTTCACCTGTGTTTATCTTCTGGTTCGGTTTGACATTTGGACAGTAAAGTGAATTCCGTCCTTGGCTGTCACTTTTGAACTGTAATCTTAGATTTCGGGTTTTGTAGGTCTTAGCCATCGGATGTTGGCCAAAATTCCATTTAGTACATGTATCTGTAGAATTACGCACTCTTGCAATACGGTTGCCAATTATTCATTCTGGTGTTTGCATTATATTATTAGTTTTAACATTTGTTAATAATTTTCTTGTCTTTTCTCTTAGTGCATCACATTACTATGAATGCCAACAGTTGTATTATAATGCATTGAATTTGTTGCTCTTAGGCCTGATTAATTTTTTTATTAGCCTTTCCTAATCTAATCACATGGGACTTGACCCCCCCCCCCCAACACACACCACCCCACCCCACCCCCAACCACATTTTTTTAGGTTAGACAGTTAGACTCTGTAAGGCCAGGACATACGATATTAAACCAAAGAATAGAAATATAAAGTGCAGAGATTAAAGAATCAACACAAGAATTATTTCTGTCTAAGCCCCGGAGGTTCGGCGATCAAATCAAACGCCTACATCCCTCGTTGAGTATCCAACAAATTGGATAATAATCAGTTACACTATATAGCCCCAAATTGGCAACGAATGTTACAAATCGTTCAATCAATACAAAGAGATAAAACCAGAACACTTATCTCTCAAATACGTCATCAGATCTGGAACGAATCACCAAGAAACTCCACAGAACGACTCTAATACACAACTCACAGTAGAACATTAGTTCACACAGAACATCACAATCAAAGAGTGAAACCCTCAAGATTACAGCCTCAAATAATAGATTTGAACAGAGAGATCACGAAGAAGAAAACCCTAAGTGTTTCTCTCAAAACAGAAGACAGAATAGTGTGTTTCTCGAATCGTCCAAAATGAAACGTCCAAGGCAGATAA